CAATAATAATACAACACATTCTAAAAAAATAAATAAAATGTAAACGATAAGATAAATAAAAATTTAAAAAGGTAAAATAAAAAATATAAAAAAGTGATAATAAATGTTACAAAAATAAAGAAACAATAAAAAAAATTAAAACTAACCCTGTCGCCCCTGCCATTCTCCATTGATGTGTGTGTGTGTCGGGGAGGGGGCGCATTGCGGAATCTGGTCTTGGGGCAGCAGGGAGAGTAAATACGGCCCTGCTCTTACACCTCCATTAACAAGGCCAAAGTGTTGTTGTAGCACATTCTTCTATTCTAACATTTTGTCTACGTTTTCTTCCAGCTTTCCTGACTTACAATTTAAGAAATATTAAAAATCCTGTCTGGATTGGATTGAATGATATCAGCTGGGATAGTAGATATCGATGGACTGACCAGAGTGGCGTGTATTATACCAACTGGGCAAAAGGTCATCCTTCCATGCACCACTATTATAGTGGCGAGGAAAATGTAAGTTGTAGCTAGTTTGAACTAGCCTTTGGGGAAGTTTGAGATAGATTTTGGGGCCAAAAATTTAATGAGAGTACAGGCAGTCCGCGAGTTACATAGATCCGACTTACATCTGACTCCTACTTACAAACAGAGGCTATTAGTGTACAGCAGGGGTAGTTGTAATGCTACCGTGCTCGTGCCGAGTGCCCTCTTTTATTGGGTCTGGTTTCTAGTGCTGTATGTACATTACAGGAAGTTGGCTCTTGTTAGACGTGCAGACAAGGGGTGTCCACCTCTTCTTCCAGGTCACTGTGAGGTTTTTACTGCTGTCTGTATCCTCATTAGAAAGATTTGATCTCACTTCCTGTCCTTGAGATAACAGGAAGTGAGAGGAAATCTAGCCCTAGGAAGGGAAATTCACTCCTGTAAGAGTTATCATGTGGTAAAGGTGTCTCCACTGAAGCTAAACCCAATTCAAATCCAATTGTCACAAGGACAGAAAGTGAGGTGAAATCTTCTGAACAGGGGCACACACAACAAAACAAACTTTACAGGGGGTTAACCCTTCCCTATGCTATCCAAAACAAAAAGAAAATCATTTTTGTGGCTGGAGTTACACTTAAAAAATGTACCTGTTCCAACTTACATACAAATTCAACTTAAGAACAAACCTACAGTCCCTATCTTGTTCATAACCTGGGGTGTACAGGGACAATGATGGCATGCTTGGACTTGTAGTTCCTTAGCTGATATATATGTGTGGGGGTGGGGGGTACAGTACTAGTGGATGTTTATATAATATGGGGGGGCGAAAAAAAATGTTCTGCCCCGGGCGCCCATAACTCTGGTTACGCCACTGCCTGTACCATAACCTTAAATTGGTGTAATGGAACCGTCCACCACTGTGCTTGCAGGTTAAACTCCAAATCTGAAACATAAGGTGGTGGTGTCATCTTGGAGCTGTGAGGTGCCCTGAGGTCTGACAGCTGAACCCCTTTCAAGCACTTGACCTTGTCTACAAGCTCCTAAGTGCCCACAGCAGCATTAAATAACAGAGCCCTGTAGGAAGGAATCCAGTGCACATCTGCAGGGATCCATAACTATTTACTATTACTAATGCTTAGGAGTGATTAGTACAAACTGTGGGTACATATTAGATATGGATTATGCTAATTTGATCACTTGAACTTGTGCATTACATATTATAATACAAAATGTTTTGAATCACCACAGGAACAAGGACACCACACCCCTAGGTATACAACAAAGAATAGAGATAGATGGGGCTTTTTAGGTGTCAAGAAATGCAATGGAGGATAATGCAACATAATAATTATAATGTTATTAATAATGTTAATAAGAATGATATTATTATGTTGCATTATCCTCCATTGCATTTCTTGACACCTAAAAAGCCCCATGTATCTCTATTCTTTGTTGTACATTACATATTATTACACTATGAGTGTTCCATGTAACAGGCAATGGTCAGACACATTTTGTAGAATTAATCCACTTCTTCAGGACCAATATGAAAGGCATTTATGATATTTAGTAAACTTTATAGATGTAATTCAGTGGCCTTAACATCAATACCTTGCACCAAGATTATTAGGGAAAACTGTCCACGCGATAAAAGTACACAAAGTAAAAAACTCCTTATAGCCCCCCCACTGAAAGCAAATGCTCCCATCATAAGTGTAATCCTGTCACACAGCCATGTTAGATCCCCTCTGCCAATGGGAAACTGGTGACCAGCCCCTTAATGGCACCAACAACAGTGTGAGTGCCCTGTTTAGAAGTGACTTATCAGACAACTTACATCTGACTGAAGTCATCCACCGACAAAGAACGTGTGCCCTTACAAGTCCAACAGAGATACGCAAACATCTGGTAACAGCTATTAAAGTCAACAGAGGAGAGTGGGTGTGCACATACCTACCCCTGTCCCCATATCTATAACATAGGGAAGAGGCGTTCTGTAGTTCACAACAGTAAACTGGATAACAATGCTTGAGATAACACTGCAGATTGCACAGAGCAGCTCTGTATTTCTGGCAGGATCAACATTTACTTTTTGCACTTGAACGGATATAACAAAACACTTTCAATGGTTTATTTACTGGACCAAAAGGGAGCAAATAACAAAAGTTGTTTGGTAGGGTTAACATACACTTGAGGTCTTTTATAGACTCCTACAGAATATATTGCAGTTGACTGATATGCACTCTAGGACAGCTGAACACAGGATGACCTTTCAGCAGATAACCAGTTACCTGAAAATGTTCTCATTTGCTTTTTTATTAACTGAAAATCTTTCTTGCAACAAATGTTAATGTTTCCTTGTAGAACGATTGTGTGGCTATGAAAGTGGGTACTGTGATGGATACCGGGACCTGGACCGAAGAAGACTGTAAACTGGAGAAAGGATACATTTGCCAAAAATCTGAAGGTGAGATTCATCTAAGTAAAGAATCATGGCAATCCTCTCATAATTAGAGTCCATTCACACCAGGGCAGTTGCGGATCAGCGCGCTGATCTCAAAAGGGAGGTTTGGGGAGTCTTTAATTGCGTTTCAGTGCTGAAATGCGATTAAGAACGCCCAAAACCACGCTGATCAGGGCAGCACCATTTCTGTATGGAAACCGGACTGATCAGCGCAGCAAAAATAGTGCAGGGAGCGGTTCGGATTGCGCGGATGCATGAATGGTCCCCATAGCAATGTATGGGATCGTTCATGTCGGTGGATCCGTGCGGCCGAACAGCCCCGGTATGAAAGGGGTCTCAATATAGCTACACTCCCACTGCACTCTCATTCGTACCTCCATTCTGCTAATATAAAATCCCATATGTAAAGATAACTCTGATTTCTTCCTTTTGTTATACTAATAGCCCTGCAGTAGCTGAAGCTTGTAACTACCAAAGTCTTGTGCAAATCTAGTCATACCATCACGAGCACCCATAAAACAACCTGTCCTTTCACTTGCTGCTTTTTCCAGTAACCTTACTCCCCTCTGCTGGAGACCCGACCAGCCAACCTGCTTCAACAGATTCCTCCTTCATGGCAATGTTATGGAGATTCCACTTTTGCAGTGATTCTTTACAGTGTTTAGCCAAAATGAACTCAAAGGTGGCACATAGCATAAAATATTTATTGAAATTGACACTAAACTCAGGAGTTAAATCTTAAAAAAGCATTCAAGCATCCTAACTACCGTATTAATGAATATGTAACTTATTTGTGTATCACTCGTCTGTAGATCTTAAAATCATCTCTAAATTGGTGATGACACCGCTCCAAGATCGCTCCCTTGATGGACTAAAATCTCAATACAAATTAGTAAACTAAACATGAGATTGTAGTCCATCACAGGAGCAAGCTTGGAGCGGTGGCTGCTTTACAACACGCACAGGGACCGTGGGGAACAAAAGTAGTCACCCTCCAGAAGGAAGGACAGTGTCAGCACCAATTCAGAGATGAATAGAGGATCTACAGCCGAGTGATACACAAATAAGAGACATTGTTATTAATAGTTAAGGGGCTTGAATGTATTTTAAAGATTTAACTCCTGAGTTTATTGTCACTTTAAGAGCAACTCTGCTCAAAATGAACTTTGGGTAGAACTGGTCCTAACATATGGTGCCAGTAGCACGTAAGGACATTTATGCTTTAACATTCTAAAATAGTGATTTGACTGTTTTGATTATCTTCTCCTCTTCAGACCCTGCCCTGCCTGTTGAGACAACTGTGTCTCCACCACCAGACCACTATGAGTTTGGTGACGCCAGCTACAAACTTCAGAAAACGAAGATGAAGTGGGATGAAGCGCAGCGAATGTGTAAACAATCAGACTACGAACTAGCCAGCATTCTTGACCCGAGCGCGGCCTCCTTTATAAGAGTGCAGCTAGATAAATTTAAGGAACCTTTATGGATTGGTCTTTACAGTAATAATAAGGTCGGTACATTCTGTTGTAATGCAGTAAGATGAATTTGTTTAATTCGGTTTTATGTATATATTCTGCAGTGAAGAAAGTAATCTGACAATACAGAGTACAGTGGCCCAGATTATATAAAGTACAGCAAAACATGCAGAGCACATTGTCCAAGCACAAGCAACATACAGCAGATGGTACACAGCATAGCAGTTTACTGTATGTAAGATACCTCAGTTCACGAACACGCTTGTTCGCGAGCAAGTCGGTTTGCGAACAAGAAGTTCGGCAAAATTTTGCTTCCATTCTCGAACTCCGCATTGGGTGATGAACGCGACCGCAACCATCTTCCCTGCTCTGACACATGGTCGTGGCTTCCTCTAGTCTGATCACAGTTTGATTCGGTTCGCAACCATTTCGGTTCGCGACCAGAATCGTGGAACGAATTAAGTTTGTGAACCAAGGTACCACTGTACAACACAGTGTAGAGCGCAGTGATTTACAGGTCTATTCACTAAAGGGTGAAGAGTTTGGAGAAGGCAGGAGAAGGGAACAATCTAGGCCAAAATACCTGATTTGGAAAAATTCTCCAATTCAGCTCACTTTCACATTGTCTCTGTATTTATTAAAACACCATTAAATGTATTTTTTAAATACAAACAGTATAAGTACCTGAATTTGACCTAGTGTCAGCCTCTATCAGCCCCAGTACAGCAGGGCTAGCCTATAAAAGGAACAAGCTGCAGAGCCAATCAGTTCATGTGCTGTCAAGAAGCATGCTGATAGAGGGACAAAACAGAGTAACAGAGAGATGAGCCCATCACTGAGCTGCTTCTCCCTTCACTGTCCAGTCACAGGCTGGGAGCGGGTGCAGGGCAACCTGTGCTCAAAGGGAGTGGGTTGAATTATACTGCACATCAGAGTAAGGACACCTAGCAGCAGAAAAATGTAGTGCGGGGGATAATCTCTGGACTGAAGTGAATGTTCCTGTTATTTTTGGATAGAGTTCTGCTTTAAATACTTTCAGCATGTTGAATTTGCAGGAATTGTTGGTGGGTGGTACACCACCTGAAATGAGCAAATGTGAAAAATGTCTGTTTTCATATTATGTGGCTGTAACATTTGCCATATTATAAGTTCAGTGAATGTTCCTGAAAACTGGGTTTTGTGTTGAAGAATGAAGCAGGGGAGGGTCATTGCAGAACAGAGATTTTCCATGGTACAGATGCACTAAAACTGCACAGAAAAACAAGCATTAGCTTCTTTTTTAAAAAAATGAATGATAACATTAATTTCAATGGACCTGTTTAATGATTATTAATATAAAAAATATTTTATCCTAATTTTGTAAAGCATTTTATTAGCATACATGTTGACATTTTATATCTGTTCTGTCATGGCCTGCATGTTACACAAAAGCTTTGGGATAAACTTTAGGGGAAAAACAACAGGCATTTTCCTTCCCCCATCATTGGTACTAAGAATCCAAAATAAATTAGTTACTTTATAATTGTTTCAGACGGACAATCAGTACAAATGGACGGACGGCTGGAAACTCCGTTACACCAAATGGGCTCCCGAAGAACCAAAGGAAAAGAGTGCTTGTGTTTATATCGATACGGATGGCCAGTGGAAGACAGCATCCTGTAATGAGACTTATGCTTCAGTTTGCTGGAAGAACAGTGGTACGTTGTGCATGAGTGAAGCAATGTGCATACTTGCCTTGCCTTCTTCCAGTACTGCCTGCAGGAACCCTCCACTGCCTTCCTTTCTTTCCTGCAGTGGCTTGGTAAGGATGCTGGGCTGTAGGCAACCATTCATGCCATATTATAGAAGGCACTGTACCACAGTGCTGCATGAGTCCAATTTCACAAAAAACTTTTTTTTTTAATAGAGTGGGAAAAGGTACAAATGTTGGTTAGGTTTTACTGTTGTCTATGTCGCCATCAGGGAGATTCCCCCTCACGTTTTCTCCTTGTCACACCTTGAGACACAATTTATTTTTGGCTTAAGGAAGTGATGGGAAATCTCCCCAGGGATACAGGCAGTAATAAAATCTTGACAAAGCTTCCAAGCCTTCCTAAATCCCAGCCTGCTTGAGAAAGATGTTTTATAACGGCAATTGTCTTTTACAAAGAGGTTTTCCCTCACTTCCTGTTCCACTTTAGCACATTCTGATGCTGAGGGTGTCACCAGCAAAGACAAAAAGGGGTGAAACCTCTCCTGACAGAGGCCCTAACCATTCACCCTCTACCCCTTAAAAAAGGGAACGTGCATCTTTGTGTCTCCCCTCACTTTTGGCTGAGGACATAATTAAAAAGTGGTAGTCCTGTGCACAGAGTCAATGGCTCTGACAGTGGACCTCCAAAAATTGTTGAACCTGTGGTGATATTTTCTACAAAATAAAATGTATAGCTAGCAGCAGAGCAGTGGGGTGGGGTGGTGGCACTTATCGTCTTATACATATCTGCCTTTAAAACGCTGTTGATTCCTAATATTAAAACATTTTAGTATTACTTTGCATTTGGTTAGGAACTGCACATTACTATAACTTCTTATTGTTGGGCTTTGTTCTAAACTGCATCCTTTAGGCCCCTTTCACTCGGGCTGATCAGGGGAGGATCCGTGCATATCAGTGCGACATTCGTGTCCATCAGTTTTTTTCTGACTTCTGGCAATGGAGGAAAAAAATGAAGTTACCAGTGGTTTCTATGACAGCCTATAGGGAATCGCATGTAAATGGACTGGAGTCGGGGGTAACTGGGCGTAAATGGACGCTTGTTCGTTTACACTAGACATGTGCGATTCGTTTCGTTCCGAATCGAAATTCGGACGAATTTTCGGAAATTCGGACATTCGGATGTATCCGAATTCCGAATTACAGACATAACGAATGCAAACGAATCTGAATTTCCATTTCCGAAATTCGGTAGCGGTAGTTCGAACGTTAGTTTCTTATTCGTTTCGTTCGTTGGAGCAAAGTGACATTAGAGAAGGAGAAAAATATTTTTTCCCCCTCAAATGTCACTTTGCTGCAAACGAACGAACGAAACGAATAAGAACAGAAAACGAAACGAACGTTCGAACTACCGCTACCGACTTTCGTCCGAATCCGAATTCTGAATCCGAATTGACTTTCACACCCGAATCCCGAAAAACGAAATAACACAAATCCGAATTTAAAACGAAACTAAACTAAACTAATTTTTTGGCAGTGCACATGTCTAGTTTACACACAACTGTCCATCGACTCACATTGGGCATCTGATCCGGTCCTCTTGAAAACCCAGATGGATCACCTGTGTGAAAGGGGCCTTACTATAAAATATTTAATACACTTGCAAACTAGCTACAGTGTCTCAGTCCACTCCTGTTTACCTTATTACTTTATCCAAAACGTGACATATATGGCCAAAAGCATGTGGTTTCCACTCCAAATGATTGAGTTCACGTGTGATAAGGCAAAAACAACTTCTGTTCATGATGAACCATTTTGAAAATTAATTTAGAAGAGTGAAGTTAAAAAGTAAAGATTAAAAAAAATACAGTAAAAATTTGAGTTCTTAAAGATGCAAGCTTTCATGGTTTTCCTTGGCTCCCTTCCTCTGGCTTTCTGGAATTCTGTGAATTGAGTAAGGAAAGTAATTCCAGAAAGCCTGAGGAATAGAGCCAAGGAAAACCCTGAAGGAAGGGACGTAAGGAAAGTTCTGAAGGCTTGCATCCTTAAGAACTTAAAGTGGACCTTTACCCCCCCTTTCACTAAAAATCACATCAGCATGCAGCTCTGCGGGCTGATATGAAATCATCTTACATTCATTAGCTAAACAAACATAGTTTACTTTTACTTACAATTATTGTTTTTCTACTTCCTGGTCCAGTTCTGGCACATATGATGTAATCGTGTCCAGGTGTTGCATCCTGGGAATTTTACATCAGTATACAAAAACGAAGACCAGGGGAAAAAATGTTTTTACATCAGCAGAGCAATGCTGGGAAATATTATCTGTAATCTCACGAGATCTCAGGGAAAGGCATTTTCCTCCTTGGAGATGATGTGCATGGTCACATGTCCTAGTCACATGTGCCAGAGTTCCAGGAAGTAAAGGGAGATGTATTAATCTGCCCTTAGTAAAATGGTTACTGTGAGAAGAATGGAGAAGAAAAGAAAAATAAGGTATTCAAAGAATAAAAAGTCGGCAACTATCTAGAAGTATGTGTTTGTAGATTGCCATTACTGAACATTTTAAGGGTGTATTTGTTATCATTTCAAAGATATGGGTAAAGTTCCTCTTTAAAGGAGAACTATGGGGTTGAGGCTTTTCCCCATAGTTCTCCTTAGGGTAACGGGAGGACACAAACTAGCGCCCTCCCGTCACCAAAGGCTCAGTATACCGCGAGCTGTAGCTCGCGGTATACTGAGATGCCGCAGTATACCGCGAGCTGCTGCTCGCGGTATACTAAGACGCCGCAGCTGAAGAAGATCCCGACAATTATGTCTGGATCCGCCCAGCTGCGTGACTGACAGCTGGCTCTGCCTATCTAGAGGCAGAGCTATCTGTACCCACCCCCTCCCCCATCCGTTCCGCCAGTCAGCGCTGGCGGATCCGAGCGGGGAATCCAGCCCCTCCCCTGTCACGGCAGAGAGCCGTGACAGGATCGAGAGGTGAGCGAACGCCGGTATGTGTTCGCTCACCTCCCGATCTACTGAGCCGACCTGTGACAGTCTCATTGTCACAGGTCGGCTAGAACTATGAGGTGAGTGAAAAGCACTCACCTCATAGTTCTCCTTTAAGTTATGCAATAAATGGTATCACTTAAACGCCAAATGTTTGGCATTAGTTGATGGCTATCATGGAATACGTGTCTCTACTACTGCTATTATTGATGTAGTATGCAAAGACATTTTAGATAATTGGGCACTTCCAACCTTGTGGCAACAGTTTGAAGAAGGACCTTTTTAGTACCAGCATGACTGTACCCTGGTTCACAAAACCAGCTCCATAAAGACATGATTATTAAGATTATTGGTGAGGACCTATATTGAGGTGGCCTGTACAGAGCCCTGACCTCAACCCTATTGAATATTCTTGGCGTGAATTGGAATGGTATCTGCGAGCCAGGTCTTCTCATTCAATATCAGCACCTGACTGCAAAAATTGTCTTTTGGCTGAATAGAAACAAATTCCCACAGAAACACACAAAAATCTTGTGGAAAGCCTTCCAAGAGGAGTTGAGGTTGTTATTGCTGCACATGATGGGAGGGGGGTTATCAGCTCCATAGTAATGTAATAGGTTTGGGAATTAGATGACTAAAAGATTATATACCATAGGTGTGATGGTCTACTTTTAGCCATACAGTGTATAGTAAGTTACCATATAACCTAGAATGTAGAACATGCAGACCACATGACAAATCATACTGGATCTAAATATTACCTGTACTTTCAAAGAAAACACTTTTTTCCTTTTTGCCTACCCCTCAACCAAAAGTACCTCCCCCTTTCCCATCCCTTATGAATCAGATGGCCATGGTCTGCACAAATCTTCAAAGCCTATGGCCAAAATCTTCTTTTGCCCTGGCTGTAATAAAGCTCTATAGACTTCTGCAATGCCATCTTCTGATACAGGAGGCAGACTATAAGTTGAAAGTGAAGGTTATAAAAATGATTGACACAAAAGAGTTATATTTGTCTTCCTGTTGAAATGTTGTGTATTCCACAAAATGGCAGAACAATTGTTCTCATAAAAGCGCTAACTTCTCTTTTAACGCTTTCAGTCGTGGCTCCCACCGAACCACCTCAAAAGCCTGGGAAATGCCCAGAATCATCCTCCAAAAGCTGGATTCCTTTCCGCAGCCATTGCTACTTCCTGGATGCTTCAGACGACTCAACCTGGAGTCAGGCATCCATGCAATGTCTTCGACATGGTGAGTATTCTGACTCCGATTGTTGTATTAGCGATTTAACCCTTGCTGAGACCTCTATGTCTGGCCTGTATAAGCAGATTTAATAACCGCGGACAATCCTTATCAGATAGCTGAACTCACCAAATACCTTTTCATCCACGATTGCTTTATTGCTTGCAGCAGATTAGATACAGCAGACAACGGGATACATCAGATGAATTAACAGATGGTATTTGAAGGTCGGAGATAGTAATGTTTCCAAGCATGCAATGCAGATTAACATGTGGTCATGTTACTGTCAACTATGTCACTAGATTACTGGAGAAGAAGGGCGGTACATTACACACAAGGGGAAATACATCATAGCTGGCAGGAAACACAGAAAAACATGCAATAACCAGATTGACCACAAGATGTCAGCACATGAACCAGCTACAATGCTGCTCACAATACAGCATATGGCTTAAAGAAAGTAAATATTAATTAATGTGAATATTAACTATGACTATGAATTGTCATATTTCATACAACTATAGTGGCAGCACAGTGAGTTTGATGAAACAGACACTGTAACAGGTATATAAAAGGGTGAATGTTACTACAGGGGCAGTTCAATACCTGCAAACAGCTGAGACTCAAGCTGGCCATACACTGCTCGAACTTCATGGGAATCATGCAGATGCAGCTTAGTTTGAGCAGTGTGTGGCCCTATTGGCACCCTTCTGTTCAAGAAAAGTAGATTTTTCAATCAACTTTTGTTGAAGGAGTCAGTCTGAAAATACAAATACAATACAAATACAATATAATACAAATTAGTAAACTAATCCTGAGATTGTAGTCTATCACAAGAGGGAGCTTCCTTTCACTTCCTGTCTTGAAGACACATAGGGAAAGAAGAGGAAATCTGCTCAAAGTGAAGGAACTCTCAGCTTAGATAGTTGTCACCAGGATATGTGTCCCCATTGGATGACATACCCTTGTCTCTTGCTCTAGTAACAACTCTAAAATGTTGGATTTCCCCTCACTTACTGTCTTAGTGACAGTGGTCACCAGAACAGAAAAAGAGGGTCATCCCTACAGTGGAACAGTAGAAAGGTATCATGGCACACTCACGAGCCAGCATGTAAAACAACTTGTCTCACCACTAAGGTTAATAACAGAGGTTTGGATACACGTCTTCTGCAGAAAATGTGAAAGCCGCACTGCCGCGCCAAGGCACCTCTTATAGTGCGGTCCTAACTCTAAACTATGAGAGTCTCCATCTTGGAGCACATGGGGGCAGAAGATTTCAAATTGGGTGCAGGTTTGTCAGGAGGAAGCCCAACCTCCTTAAAGGCACAGGGACACACAAGGGATCCCGCACATCCCAATGGCAGCTGAGAACCCCCATGTGTCACTGCACCAAATCGGTCAAGCAAAACAAATGACAAAAACACTCAACAATTTGTCACCACTACAGTGGAGACACAGGCAGGAATACAAAACTTGACAGATGATCTAATCCTTCCCTGCTATATTCAAAACTTTGAAAAAACGTTGTGCCTTTACTTACACTTTATAGGATATCTAAATTCAAGAACAAAAACACAATATATTGCGACCTATCAGCCCTAAGATATTGTAGCTGCATTACTTTTCTTTTTTCAGACTAAGAACATTTTGAGCAAGTAGAGAAAATACCTGTTGATTGTGCCTGAACTGTCATGTCCCTATCAGTTCCTGTGGGCTGAACTGAAAGCACAAACAAATGTTAACTTTCTTCTGTGAAGTACTAATCCCCCCCATTCACCATGTCATTGAGATAAAGAGAGGAAGACATGTTTGAAGTCTGCCCTGGGTGACGACCAAGGCTTCCTCTATAGATAGTGGGGGAGTGAACGTAGTCACCCAGGGACAGGAAGCGAGTTATTTGCAGGATCAACAAGTGGAAGAAAAAAAAAGGAAAAAATGCAGCCACCACATCTAAGGGCTAGTACGCTGTAATAAATTACAACTTTGCTTTTTGGTTTAGATATCCTTTAATAACATATATGAAATAAATGAATGCTTACTGCGTACTTCTTCTTATATTTCTTGTGTATGTAAAAAAAAAATTTCCTTTCACTGTTTTGGAATTTTTCTTTGCAGGCGGTAATATGGTTTCAATTGAAGATCAGCATGAAGCAGAGTTTCTGAATGACCATGCCTTTTTGCTCAGTGACAAGGAAAGCTCCTTTTGGATCGGTTTATATAAAAATGTAGAAGGTGCAGTATCATATCTAAACATCTGTTGTTTCATTTATCATATACGGTCAATGTTCATTAACTGAAAGGGAAGCAACTCCTTAGAGGCGGAGATATTCTCCGAAAACATGGAAGGAACCAAAAAATATCAAGGGGAATGGACGGCATTTTAAAGGAGGTATAGCCAAATTAATTTGAGTGTGATCAGTGATGATAGGGCAATAAGATAAATCCTGCATTGGTTGTCAGCGTCTGCCCCCTCCTCCCGAAGTAAAGCCTTTCTTACATTGGGGGTCAATTGGGAGCCCCAGTATTATCCTGTGTTACAGTGGTGGTCAGCCAGCCCCCGCTCCCATTATAGTGCCTCTATGACACTGTTCCCCATTATAGTCCCACTCACATTATAGTAGAAGTAAGTATCCCCAGTGCCAGCATGTCACCCCATTGCAACTATTATGTCTCCTCAGTGCCACCCTGTCACCCCAGTGCCACAGACATGTCTCCTCTGTGCCACCAACATGTCTCTCCAAAGCCACCATTATGTTTCCCATCAGAATTGCCTTCTTTCTTTCTCCTCCCCCATATGCAAAGTTGGGCAGGGAAGTGGTGGCGAGACATAGCTACCTGTTCTGGTGTACTGGTCCCCGCGGGTCCACATTGATCTATGCCGATTCACTTCTCCGATCTATCTCAGGAGCATCTATTTATGACATCTTATATAAGCATCTAGGATGGATGCAAGACAAGGTTCCCAGGGACCATCATGGCAGAACAGGTAGCTATGTCTCACCACTGCTTCCCTGTGCTAATCTGCGTGCGAAGGAAAAGCACTTCTGGTGGAGGGTTGAAACGATGGGGATGTGATCTACCCATTACATGTCAAGTATATATCCCCATCGCACACCACACTGGGAAACCCCTAAATGGGGTACTGAAACAACTGGTAGATGGCAACACAGTGAAGAAGAAAAATATGTTACCAGCACACTTCAATCCTCCAACAATGAAATCGCCTTCATTGACGTTTGTTCACCATGTGACAGAAATTCAACATTTTGGAACTACCAGGGGAACCTTCCTCAGGCAAAGGTAAATAAAATTCACAAATATGCACAACAAAAATATATACAGATGAAACACCACAATTTACCATCAACATGACGTCACAATTACTTCATATTCCCACCAAAATCTCATGAATAAAAACAATAGCAGCGAATTTCCTATCAGTGATGATCTCCATATTGCTAACATAAGTATGGTATATCTGTCAATTCAGAAATTGAGAAAGCTAGTCAGATGACCAGCAACACTTCTTTTAACCACTAAATGCTCACAATCTTCCCAGATTGATTAACATCCAGGATAATTTGGCCCACATAGCATGAACCCAAGCTATTATGCACCCACCCCCAACCTGTTACTGGCACAGAAGGAAAAGCAGCAGTGATGATTACAGGTATATAAAATGTTATATAATGTTGTAGTAAAGTGTTAGCACACAGAAAACTAAATTCTGGGCTGTAATCATACCTCCCATTGTCCCTCATTTGGAACCAAATCCCTCTGTCCCTCAATACTTCTCCCTTGTCCCTAGCAAGCAGTAGATATAGGCAAATAAAAAAAAAAGCTTTCGCAGCGGTTTACACTTACCCTGTTTTCGTCTCGCGCTCCCGCCCGAGAATCCGAAACTGCTCGGGCGGCCGCAAAGCATCTTGGGGCGGGCGCATGCGCAGTTCGGATTCTCGGCCGGGAGACAAGCAGAGACTGAAGGTAAGGCTTTGGACGCGTGCACCCGCATGCAGACACCGCTGGATCAGAAGTGCCTGCAAGCAGAGAGGAGTCAGCGTTGGATCGGAGAGCCGCCGCACCGCTGGAGGGACAGATTAAAACATCAGGAAAGAAGAGGAAGATCGGATTAAGAGACATCATTTAAGGTAATTGCTGACATTAACATTGGGGGGAGGGCAAACATTTTTTGGCTTTAATGTCACTTTAACTATCAACAAAAATGTATCTTATTTGTGTATCACTCGGCTGTAGATCCTCAAATCATCTCTAAATTAGTGCTGACACTGTCCTTCCTTCTGGAGGGGGGCTACTTTTGTTCCCCATGGTCCCTGTGTGTGTTGTAAAGTAGTCACCCCTCCAAGCTCACTCCTGTGATCAACTACAATATCACATTTAGTTTACTAATTTGTATTGAGATTGTAGTCCATCACGGGAGCGAGCTTGGAGAGGTGACAACTTTACAACACACACAGGGACCATGGGGAACAAAAGTAGCCCCCCTCCAGAAGGAAGGACAGTGTCAGCACTAATTTAGAGATGATTTGAGGATCTACAGCTGAGTGATACACAAATAAGATACATTTTTGCAAAAAATTAAATAGAAGAAAGACATAACGCTAATACTTTGTCTGAGCCTACATAAACAAAAGAAAATCATTAAAATAGTTGTAAACTACACAGCAATGAACAACTGTTAAGAAAATAATCACTTTGGTCAAGAGTAGACTATGAAATACACAGCATATACAATACACAACACAGCACATAGCATATATAGTACAGGAGTTTATGTGATCTACCACTCAGTATATAGAGTGCAGCGATCCACAGTATGTATCATAGGGCCCCTTACTTTAATGTCCTGGCAACTTTGGAAGAAAAAGAAACCCACTGCTGTCAATGGGGACTGAAACATTGCAGAACAATGAGAGCTCAGTGGGGGCCAGAGGGGTACAGTGATGGTTACCGGGGGCCAGAGAAGTGCAGTGGGGGGTCAGTGGGGACTGATGGAGTACATTAGTAGTCAGTAGGGGGCACAGAGGTACAGTGGTGGTCAGTGGGTACAGTAAAGGTCAGTGGGGGTCAGAGGGGTACAGTGGTGTCAGTGAGGGCTGATGGGGCACACTGGTGGTCATTGGGTGCCAGGGGGGTACATTGGTGGTCAGTGGGGGCTGGAGGTGCTTGGGACTTATTTGCTGAGTGCATTTCCGTCAAATTAGCAGGTATTTTTCTGTATTTGCAGATGGTTTAAAGGGCTGAAACTTGGAAAAATATGCATGGATTGCAGAGATGTAATGCCTATGTTTTTTGTTTTTTGACATACACAAAGGACCTAAGAAACATAACAATTTGGTGGTTTATTCAGAGGCAAAAAAACCTCCTAACTAAAATGGAGTTGGTGTTGAGATAGAAAACAAATGACAAAATTAGGGAAAACTATTATCTTTTACTGAAAACTTAACCTTTAATAAATGATAAATGTGTTTGCTTTTAGGAAGATGGCTGTGGATGGACAATACTCCGATGGACTATGTAAACTGGAACACGGAAAGATCATTTGACAGTTCGGATTTCCCAGATTATGGATTTAGTTAGTGTTGAGATTTCAGAAATACAAAACAAATTACAAAATTAAGGAAAACTATTATCTTTTTCTGAAAACTTAAACCTTTAAAAAATTATGTCTTTAATTTTAGGAAGATTTCTGTGGTTGCGCATACATAGTATGGAATCATTTCACGATTTAAATGAGGAATGTGTATCGATGAATGCAAAAACTGGGACCTGGAGCTACAGTCCCTGCTATTTAGACAAAGGATACATATGTAAAACTCTGAAAGGTAAGTTATTTTTTTCTCCTCTCCATGTGTGCTTTGTGTCAGCTTACATACACGAAGAGTCAAGAATGACCTTTAAAGGGAAACAAAACCAGAAAAGTGAATGTGGGATGGAGCTCTGCAAAAAAGGTGTAAATCTCCAAAAAAGACCTTCTTCTCTTCCCCAGCAGCTGATATTTTCTGTATCTCCACTTCACTGCCTATCACAGAGCCATAGAGTTCAGAGTCACCCTGTCCACACAGCATCATTTGTCAAGAATTAAAGGGTAATAAAAAAGTATACTTACCTTTCCAGCAGCCAGCAGGTTGATACGCTGCCTTCTTGGTGCCCGCCAGCCGCTGCAGGTATTCCACACTTCCAGTTGTGTAGAATACCTGCTCCCACACTGTACACTATAGTTCCTCCTGATGGCTCAAGTCACTATTGGACATATGAGCAGGGCCGGATGTCCCACAAGGCCAATCAAGGCCCGGCCTTGGGGCAGCAGGGAGTAGAGGGGCAGCAGCGGTGTGAAATCCCTATCTCCCAATGCCTGGGACATGCAGTTCCGGGCACCGGGTGGGTAGTTGTTTTCTGTGGGTAGCGGGCCGCATTGGGGAACCTGGCCTTGGGGCAGCAGAGAGAGTAAATCCAGGACTGCATACGAGTCGGCGGGAGGGACCACAATGTGCATTGAGGGAAACGGGTACTCTGGTCATCCAGCTGGTTGAATGCGTGCAGCGACAGTGAGCACCGAAGAGGCAGCGTTTTAACAAACAGGACCTTAGAAGTGTAAGTATAAAGCCTACCTAACTACAGGTATGTCATTCTCAACTTTAACTGTTTATTTCCGTGAGCCATGCAGGGGCGTCTTGTTTGTTCTTACCTTTTTCTTCCCAATAAGTCAGTATAATGGCACAACATGTTCAGGGCCGGATTAAGAGCATCATGGGCCTGGTGCTGTTGGCCTGTCGAAGGGGAAGCAGCAGAAGCAGTTCTCTAACCTGATGGCCACTCGCTCCTCGCTGGGGACCCGTGAGGCCCCAGTGAGCGGCCACCTATTATACCTTATTAGAGAGCCGCTGGTGCCTCTGCCTGATTGTGTTCAGCCTGGCCTAATTTTAGTGGTGGACCTGGAGCTGGCGCTCCAGTAGCTCCTATCCAACCCTGAACATGTTGATGGCAGCAACATTTATGAAAGAAAAGGAGCCCCCACCTCCCAATACTGCCACACTGCATAGGAATCAGTTTCAGGTTGCTTTATTCGGAAATGAGTCCTTTAGAGCAGTGGTCCCCAACCCCCGGGCCGCGGACCGGTACCGGTCCGTGGATCAAATGGTACCGGGCCGCTGACTGGGATATTCTGATGCATCGATGATGCAATTCATACCCTCGTGGAAATTACTATGCACCCACAGTGCAAATGAAACTGCATTATGGATTACAATGTATATATGTGGCATTTTACTAACAAATGTGGTGTGCTATGGATTGTAGGCACCAAGCAAAAAGAGAAAGTTTATAAAAATTAGAAAGCAAAAATGACATTAGTATTAATACACTTGGACATCATGTGACAGTAGTGCATTAATAATGGGGACTAACATAACTTTACTTTTCTTCTTAATATTTGATTTAAACTGACTTCAAAAATAATTTTCTTCATTTTATCTTTACAGTTCCGGTGTCTTCCGAAAATACGACACAACCAGGTACAGTATGTATACCTACTCAGCATTCTGAATACCTAAACTGAAACTGTTCCCAGATTATACGCAATAAAGTATTTCAATACTTTGAACAAATAGCAGAAAACATTTGAAACAAGCCATATATTACCTCTGTAGCTATGTGGCATTGTGGAGAAATTAATCTTTATAGTTCACACCAGAAGCATTGAAATGTTAGCTCGTTTCCTCTTACTTTCTATTGGACCACAATCTTGGCAGCCTGTCAGCCAAACTGAAAATAGACTTTAAAGTCTTTATGTTGAGAATGAATTACTTCACACTACATGCAGCTAACTAGGTCAGTGGAAGCTTGTTTTAACGTTTCTTTACTGCTAATTCAGAATTTGTAAATACTTAAAGGAGAACTATGAGGTGAGTGAAAATCACTCAGCCTCATAGTTCTAGTCGACGTGTGACAATGAAACTGTCACATGTTGGCTCAATAGATCGGGGAGTGAGCGAATGCATACTGTAAGTGCCCTTGTAATACTTTATAACATTAAGCCTTTACTTACAGAGACTTCCAAGCAAGAACAGAAGAAGCCATCACATGGAATCGCTGTAGGGGTGTCTATACTTGTCATAGCAGTTATTGCCTCAACCGCCATTGCAGTTTACTTAATGTACAGGAAGAGGCACAATAAGGCCCCTGACACAGAAAAAAGTTTCGATAACACATTATACTTCAGCAGCAGCCATGATACAGCAGTCCAGGACACCAACATTCTTGTGAATAATATGGAACAATTGTAAGCCAATTTTTCTTCATTCTTCTTCCTGGGGCCATATTTAGATATCATGCTGTCCTAGCACACCCAAATGATGGAGAGGTTTTGCAAAAGCTCTACGCTTGATTTAATAACACCTACAGTTAGTAAGGACTACCGGAGGCAGTATATTGTCTGCTTTATACACAGGACTACTTTTTAGCTATACAGACCACCAAACAGGAGTAAGGAGGGATGGCTCCATGAATAAGGAAAGGCCTTTGATTCCTCTGCACATCCATTTTCTTCTTTTAAAGTTCTCTTGTTGAGTTAACCAACAGTTTTCCAAGGCGGCCAGAACAGGGGGAAAAAATAATGCATTTGGATCGCACCCAGCAGCCTGTCAAACCGGCAAGTCAGCTCTGATCAAGGTTCAATATCTGAGTCTACAGCCTAATGCATTAACTGACAGTTCCAAGCCTCCTGCCCTTAAGAAGGGGTACAAACCAGAAATGTGTTGGCTACTTTCTATTAAAACGTTTTCATATAAACTAATTCTACTGTTCAGACTTCTACCTAATGGCGCTTCTCACCCATAGCTAAAACCTTCGCAAATGAAAAAGTCATCCTGGTTACTAAGTCTTGACTTGCCACACTTACCCTGCTGCCCTAGGCACTGGACCATAGGTGCCCTTATGGTGAATAAATGGCTTCTGAAATTGTTCTGTTTGTTGCAGATTGAATTGTTGACATGTGTTCCCCTATCTGTGCAGCCCCAGGATGCTGATTCAGTTTGATTGTAGAAATGAACAACAACAAACACAACTTTATGCCAATGTGCCTTTAAACAGGAATATTTAACTTGTGCTGACTTCCTGTAGTGATAATAATGACAAACAAAATAACAAACGACAACACAAAGTTGCTAAATGACTCCTTTGTCATCTCTTGCCTCGACTATTGCAATTTACTCTTCCCTGGCCTTCCTCTACATAGACTATCCTCCCTTCAGTCTATCATGAATACTGCTGCTAGACTCATCCACCTTACCTATAGCTCAGCGGTCATCGCCCCTCTTTGCTAATCCCTCCATTTTTTCAGCTCTTGCAATTTATAAAATTCACAATCCTAGCAGCAACATACAAAGTTATCTGCAAATCTTCCCTTGGCTACAACCATGTCTCAAAATATCACCCAAACTGTCCTCTCCGCTCCTCCCAAGAGCTGCTTTCTAGCTTCCTCGTCACCTCCTCCTATGCTCACCTACAGGACTTCTCCAGAGCTTCTCCCATCCTCTGGAACCCCCTACCCCAAGCTATCTGGCTGTTTTATACTGTGTCCACCTTTTGGCAATCCCTGAAAACTCATCTCATAGAAAACTCATTCAGAGAAGCCTATCTTGCCTCACCCCTAAAATCTCATCCTTCACACTCCCACTTGTATCACTTGCCCTTCCCTTTTAGTTTCTAAACTCTCACGAGCAGGCCCCTTCTAATCCCCTTGTATAGAATTGTATTGTACCTGTACTCAGGGGCGTAACTAGAAATCACAGGGCCCCATAGCAAAATTTTTTATGGGGCCCTGTGATTTCTAGTTATGCCCTTGCAGAGCCCACCTGATATCCCACACAGCCCACCTGAGAGAGACCAGGTGGGCTGGTCAAACCCTCTTACCTGTCAGCCCTTATCCGCTTTCTGTCTCCTCCTCCACGGTTGCTGGCAGGCCCCGCCTCCTCTTCCACCATAGGGCCTGCCTCCTCCTCCGCTGCTGACGCCAGCCCCAGCCTCCTCCTCCACAGCTGCTGGCTGTCACTGACTCAGCAGCGGCTGTGAGGAGGAACACGCAGCTGCACAGATCACTGACATGTTGTCAGAGATCTGAACAGCGACATGTTCCTCCTCACACCCGCCATTGACAGCCAGCAGCCTGAGATGCCACAGCGACCCAGGCGGCCCGCTCGGCATCAGGGGGATGTCCTGGCTGGGCCCCCCTGTGCCCCGGGCCCCATAGCAGCTGCCTTGGTCGCTATGGCAATTTTTACGCCACTGCCTGTACTGTCTCCCTATATGTTTTAAAACATTTCACAGACTGTTGCTGCTATATAAATCCTGTATAATAATAATAAAATTAATAATAATATTAGATACAGAGAAGATGGGATAAACTTAATTCGGGATGCTGTATAAGTTATTTTACCTCAATGCCTTATTTTATCTGGTAAATTACTCCTAAAAACTGCTCAGTTCAAATACAAGTATGTTTTAGGTGTGGAATTCATGCTTTTACATGAAATGGACATTTAAGTGTTTTTGTTATATTTTGTCACGAGTCATCAATTTTCTCACAAAGCATTTTGCTATCACCATCACAAGTGCCTCCTTTTCCTGCTCTCAGAAAACATCTAATTGAAACTCATATTTATTGCCAGCCTGACCCTGGCCATATTTCAGAGATTATCTGTGCACTAACCTCTGTGTACTGAGCCTATTGTGGTACTTAGCCATAAGGAGAAGGCAATGGTTTACCAGTAAACTGATGTACTATGTAAGATAAGTTTTATAAGCTTCAAGAAATTAAATTGATGATTGATGATTGAATAATTGGAGTTAATCTTCACACTATCTATTGTGTGAACATGAGGACCATTAAAATATAGCGAAATGCCTCCTATTCTCTAACACTGATGAATGCAATGGGGAGAAGGTCCTATATAGTATATGTAAGACTAAGATGTCTCATGCCCCTAAAAGCTTGTGCAATTGCCTTGAAAGCTTTGGTCCAGTTGGCCAGAGTGATATTGTATGAGTAATTTATTCCATATTTGCCCATATGTTATCTTTCATTGCACTGATCAGTTGTAAATAAAAAAAATGTCATTAAACTTTTGTTGCGTGGTGTGATCTTTTTACTACTTTGAAGGGAATCCCAGGGAATTATAAAGAGTTAGTGGGGAAATAATCAAGAATATTGGACTTATCTTAGGTGTTCCACTAAGAGTGAGAAATAGTTGGGTGTCTCTTCTGTTCTTAGGATGTATCTTCTGTTCTTAGAGAATCGGAAGAGTTCATTTTTTTCTCCAGAATTCCACCATGAGATATATCATATGTTCAAGGAACATAACTTTTCAAACAGCTGTTTGTATATGCGCTTTCTCAGAGTTGAATCTTTACTTGTATCTTTATTGAAACCATAGGGACAAAAGGGGGCCGCAACTGAGGTCATAAGGGCAACATGTTATTGAACAGGAAGACCACGTAAAGGCTACCATTAAATAAGGTTGCATATAGCTAGATGTTCAAAGTTTACCCATGGCATAAGTGTGAATTCTAAGATGCTCACTGGGCAAATCCAGCAGAAAGAAAACTTGGAAGGCTGAGGTCATCTTAGTCGTGGTGTATAAATTGCTGTGTACAGGAACATGTATGTGAGACCACACATTACATTTATCTGTAGGTCTGAACACATATGAATGAAAAATTAGTCTTTTAAAAACCTTTTTTATTTATTTATTTTGTAGCACAGTAAAACCTTTATAAAATAGAAGGTGTTCACATGTCACTTTCAATCACATATCCAAAGAAATAAGAGGATTATTCCTTATTTTGGGACAGTGGTGGAGCTAGGCAAAGCATTTTACCATGCCCGAGCGGCTAGATGCACATCCACAACTGCTGGTGTAAAATGTAGCCTAATGATTATAGAGCCATTTATTTCAAACTGCGTAATGCTGCTTCAGGTTTTTTAGCTGTTATCAGTGCTGGCTTCTGTGGAGTAAGGCTTGGAACCCAACAAGACAGTATAACCTTAGGCTGGGTTCACACCACGATTTGCGGTAAAAGAAGCGCGTGACAAACGCGCGTTTCCGAGGGCTATCCGGTTGTATCCTAATGGATACGCGCAGCAAATACGCCCCAAAGAAGCTCCTGTACATTTTTGGGCGTAGAGCGTTTTTCAGCGCGTTCCTATGCGCTGTAAAACACCCAGGTGGGAACCATGCCCATAGGCAATTATTGATTTTCACATGTTGAGCGTTTTACAGCGCGTAGGAAGGCGCTGTAAAACGCCCAGGTGTGAACCAGGCCAGAGATTACTCTATTTTAGGATAGAGTCGGAAATACAGTAGATAAGACACATGTCAAGGTTTAATTCTATCTATGTCCCATTCAAGAATGTTTTCTTCACTTTCTGTCCTGTAGAGGTTACAGGAAGTGACTGAAAATCTTGTCAAAGTGAAGGAAAGGTCCTCCTAAATTGTACCTGGGACAAGTGTCCCAATTTCTTCTTTATGCTTCTGGTGACAACTTCTCTCACAAATAGAGAGTGAATCTCCCAATGAGGAACCCAAACAGCAATACACACCTGACATGTTCCATTACTTCACCACTCTATTCCACTATTCCAAAAGAAAAAAGCTTTGGCTTTAGGTTCATTTTAAGGCACAAAATAAAATAAGATGAAGGGCATCATGCCAGGAAGGGCAAAACAACAAGTTCACCAAAATGGCAGCAAGCCAACCAGCTTTATTTACTCACCTTCCCTTCATTCCCTCAACACTCTTTTTAGATGCCAACAGCAAAAAAAAAAAAAATCCGGTACGTTCAGATAGGGAGCATGTGACCCGCTCTCCTTCCTCCCATGTCATTGTCCTGGTGTTTGTTCACTCAGGCCATCAGCATTATCACATTTGGCCAGGCAAAGAGTCCCTAACCATGTTTTAAGCCTTTCACATGCTCACTGCGGGTATAAATCTGAATGAGCACAAGAAGTCTCCAGTGCTTTTGTCAGGAAATGCTCTTTTTTTTGTTATATTATGTGTACAGAATATATAGCATTATGGTAAGATAATAGCTGACCACAGACAATTCAAGTATTGATCAATCATTCCCATTGCACTGGTAGTAAAACGTATTTAGTTCCACTACTGATATGTTGCTACGTTGGTTGTGGAAACTGCTCCTGCACATAAACTTTAGTCTATTGATTCCCAAATCCCAGACCCAGTGTCTTCTTTTGTCCTGATTGACCATAAACTACATTTTCCTGACATCTCACTAAGCCTATACTAAGTTACTACAAATGTTGACAACAAAAAACAGA